CGAAATTAGTAATGAAGAGATGAAAAGTGAGAAATGCGAAATTAGAAACACGAAATGAAAAATGAGAAATGAAAAAAAAATGAAAAATTAGGAATGAGTAACAAGAAATGCGAAATGAATTAGAAATCCTGTCATTAAAACTGAAACATGCGAAATGTGAAACAAAGGCAAAATACGAAATTTAAAAACGAAATGAAAAATGAAGAATGAAAAATGTGAAATGAAAAATAAGAAATATGAGAAATGCGAAACGAGAAAATTTAGAAATCTGAAATGCGAAATCAGAAGAAATGAGAAATTGGAAGTGCGAAATGACAAATCTGAAATGCGAAATGAAGAATAAAAAAATGTGAAACGAAAAATGGGAAATGAGAAAATTAGAAATGAGAAATGAGACGAGAAATAAGAAATGCGAAATGAGAAATTGAAAAAACCAAATGTGAAATGGGACGTGGGAAATGTGAAATGGTACGTGGGAAATGCGAAATGGTACGAGGGAAATATGAAATGGGGAAATTAGATGTGAAAAATGAAAAATGCGAAATGAACGCGAAATTAGAAATGAAGAGATGAAAATTGAGAAATGAAAACTGAAAATAGCGAAATGAGAAAATTTAGAAATCAGAAATGCGAAAATTAGAAATGAGAAATTGGAAGCGCGAAATGACAAATCTGATATGCGAAATGAGAAATTGCAAAAGCAAAACGGGAAATGAGAAATGGGAAACGAGAAATAAGAAATGCGGAATTAGAAGTCGAAAAAACGAAATGTGAATTGGGACGTGGGAAATGTGAAATGGTACGTGCGAAATGTGAAATGGTACGGGGAAAATATGAAATGAGAAATGAGATGTGAAAAATGAAAAATGTGAAATGAACGCGAAATTAGAAATGAAGAGATGAAAATTGAGAAATGAAAACTGAAAATAGAGAAAAATGAGAAAATTTAGAAATCAGAAATGCGAAATGGGAAATGACAATTCCAAATTAAAAAATTGGAAAAGCGAAATGTGAAAATGAGAAATGAGAAATTGGAAGTGCGAAATGACAAATCTGAAATGCGAAATGGGAAATTGCAAAAGCAAAACGGGAAATGAGAAATAAGAAATGCGGAATTAGAAATTGAAAAAACGAAATGTGAAATGGGACGTGGGAAATGTGAAATGGTACGTGCGAAATGTGAAATGGTACGGGGAAAATATGAAATGAGAAATGAGATGTGAAAAATGAAAACTGAAAATAGAGAAAAATGAGAAAATTTAGAAATCAGAAATGCGAAATGGGAAATGACAATTCCAAATTAAAAAATTGGAAAAGCGAAATGTGAAAATGAGAAATGAGAAATTGGAAGTGCGAAATGACAAATCTGAAATGCGAAATGAGAAATTGCAAAAGCCAAACGGGAAATGAGAAATGGGAAACGAGAAATAAGAAATGCAGAATTAGAAATTGAAAAAACGAAATGTGAAATGGGACGTGGGAAATGTGAAATGAGATGTGAAAAACGAAAAATGTGAAATGAACGCGAAATTAGAAATGAAGAGATGAAAATTGAGAAATGAAAACTGAAAATAGAGAAAAATGAGAAAATTTAGAAATCAGAAATGCGAAATGGGAAATGACAATTCCAAATTAAAAAATTGGAAAAGCGAAATGAGAAATTGCAAAAGCAAAACGGGAAATGAGAAATGGGACGTGGGAAATGTGAAATGGTACGTGGGAAATGTGAAATGGTACGGGGAAATGTGAAATGAGAAATGAGATGTGAAAAATGAAAAATGTGAAATGAACGCGAAATTAGAAATGAAGAGATGAAAATTGAGAAATGAAAACTGAAAATAGCGAAGTGCGAAAATTTAGAAATTCGAAATGCGAAATGACAATTCCAAATTTAAAAATTGGAAAAGCGAAATGTGGAATGAGAAATTGGAAGTGCGAAATGACAAATCTGAAATGCGAAATGAGAAATTGCAAAAGCAAAACGGGAAATGAGAAATGGGAAACGAGAAATAAGAAATGCGAAATGAGAAATTGGAAAAACGAAATGTGAAATTGGTCGTGGGAAATGTGAAATGGTACGGGGGAAATGTGAAATGGGACGTGGGAAATGTGAAATGGGAAATGAAAAATGCGAAATGAGAAAGTTTAGAAATCAGAAATGGGAAATGAGAAAATTTAGAAATCATAAATGCGAAATGGGAAAATTAGAAATGAAAAATGGTACGTGGAAAAATGAAATGGGAAATGAGATATGAGATATGAAAAATGTGAAATGAAAACTGAAAAATACGAATTGAGAAACTGGAAATAAAAAATACAAAATGTGAAATTGGAAATTAGAAATCCGAAATGAAAAATGAGGAATGAAAAATAAAAAATTACGAATGAGAAAATGAAAAATTACGAATAAGTAAGAAGAAATGCGAAATGTGAAATAAACGCACAATGCGAAATGTGAAATAAACGCACAATGCGAAATTAGAAATACGAAATGAAAAATGGGAAAGCGAAACGAAAAAATTTAGAAATCAGAAATGCGAAATGAAAAATCCGAAATGAACACGAAATGGGAGGAAATGAGAAAGGATAGCCGCGAAATGTGAAATGGGACGGGGAAATGTGAAGTGGTACGTGGGAAATGTGAAATGACAAATGGGAAATGCGAAATAAGAAACGAGAAATGCGAAATAAGAAATTACAAAAGCGAAATGAAAAATGGAGAATGAAAAATGTGAAATAAGAAATTGCAAAATGATAAACTGGAAACACGAAATGAAAAACGTGAAATGAGAAATACGAAACGAGAAAATTTAAAAATCAGAAGAAATGAAAATTGAAAAATGAGTAATGAATGCGAAATGGAAGAAAGGTAGACGCGAAATGGGAAATGAGATGTGAAAAATGAAAAATCCGATATTTGAAATTCGAAATGAAAAATGGGAAATTAATTTGACATGAGAAATGACAAATTAGGAATGAGTAATGAGAAATATGAAATAAGAAATGAAAAATGGGAAATGAGAAATAAGAAATGTGAAATTAGACATGAAAATTAAGAAATGAGGAATAAGAAAAAAAGAGAAAGGATAGACGATAAATGCCAGACAAACGGGAAATGACAAATGGAAAATAAGAAATGGGAAATTAATTTCAAATGAGAAATGAAAAATGCGAAAGTAGAAATTAAAATGACACTTGGATAATTATTCCATTTTAAGTTTCAACAAAAAATAAAATTGACGAACATAAAAAAATGGAAGTTGAGTGTCATTTCAAGGTAAAAACAATGGCGTTTATAGAATTTGAATATCGCTATCCGTTCTCAAGATATAGTAGTATATATATCGTGTAGTTTTAACTGGGACATTCTGTATATTAAAATAAAATTGGGTGGGTTATGAAACTCGTAGTCAGGGCAACATATTATGTTAGAAATTAAGACGAATTTTTATTAACAAATTAAAAATAAATGTAAATTTTAACCGAGACACAAGAAACAGGGCATTGTGTTTCTAAAATTTTAGAAAATTTTGTAAAATCAAAATCCTTCTTAAAAATATGTTACGAAACTCGCACCCGCAACGTTAAAATACGAATGATGCACTATTGAAAAAATCTCGCGATGACGTCACCGAACTCTCCATGCCATGGACGCACAAATTGTCGCCCAGCCGGCGTCGAACCCGTTAAAACCGCCTCATTCTTTTTCGAACAATTAAACTCCCATTCGTCGGTGGAATGCGCCGCCTGTGGCATTTCTCTCCGGAAAAAAACGCCAAACAAACAAGAACAAACAGCACGAAGAAAACAAGCCACAATGAAAATAACACGCCGTTTCCAGTTCCGCTCGGCTGGATTTTTTTAACGACGACAACGCACACCACCGACTTTCCATTATATTTAAACCATTCGAAACCATCGCAAACTTGACATTCCGCCGATCGAAGACTCATCGGAAATCGCGCGGATCACAGCGCGACCTACTTGAGTTGCGGATTTTCGCGAAAAACAAAAGACGACGTCGTCGGATCTAATTGGATGAACGACGGCTTAAGGGCGAAAAGGCGACCTAGATGTGGAACCTACTTTACGGTTGCAGTTTTTTTTTTGTAAAATAATAATCGAAAACGAGTGTAATCTGCAGTGATTAACCGCTGTGTGATAACGAGATATTGTCGATTTTATTAGTACAATTATCATTTAAATGGACAAGAATGCGATAACGCGAAATTGGATCAATGGTGCGATTACGTCGAGTGGTATTTTTAGAAATTTCAAAAAATTTTGTTGGCGTTAGTCACAGTGATTTGGGGACGTCACTGGCTGAAGCGTCAGTATTAACATAAATACCACAGACAGCAGTAATAATAATTTTAATCACACTTGGAACGATCTCTTTCTTTGAATCTTGGTAACAAAAATCGAAATTTCCGTGTTATTCAGGGCTATTCGAAACCTGCAACATTCCACTGGTCTGTGGATAATGCACTCGCATCCATGGGTGACCATGAAACCGAGCAGGTGTCCCAGACAGGTAGACCATTGGTAGACTCGATATTTTTACCGAGCTTGTAATTTTATTCGTGCTTTCACCGATACTTACTTACGGCCTTAAACCGTACTTAATTTTAATTTCATTCAAAAAATAACCTAGTCGCGTTATCTTTGAAACGCCCCAAATTCCACTTTTGTCGCTACGGTTATTTCCAAATGTCAATGCTAGCCTCATTATCGCTTAATTTTGAAATTAATCCGCGAATTAGAGCAACCGCATTTCTGCTTTCTGGCAAATCTGCGGCCTTGACACATGCGAAAAATGTTAACAACGATCGGTTTTTGCGAAATCCCGTATTTACTAAACACCGAAGCATAAACAATAACAAATGTGTGTACGTTGCTTATCGTAATTCTGAATATTTGTATGTATGTTGCTCATTTAAGTGCAAACATTTGGGCACGGTCGGATATATTTATTTATCGTAAGCAAACCGAAAACTTACCTTCGCTTTTTTCGTTTTTTGACTAAGACTAGATTTTCCATCGATGAGTATGTTATCGTTAATGAATGTGACGTCGCAGGGACTCGGGGGGCCTTCCAGAGAGCGCAGGACCTCCTCGTCTTCGTCTGTGAATGATTCGCCCACCCAGGCGCCGGGGATCAAAATTATGCCCCCTTCGCCAACCTGAAAACAGAGAGTTTTACTATTTTCATCACATCTTGTCGTCCTTGTTTAATAAGTATAATTTTAATAAAACGTTTTGGATTGAAATGTTAGACAACTTTCAAATATTTGTCGACTTATTGGATTGTGTGACATTTATCCTCAGGTTAAATCAAATTGTTTTTTAAATTTTATATAAGCTATCGCGATTTAAAAAAAAACTAAAGTGCACCTCGTCACCGAAGCTATTTTTTGTGCCTCAATGAGTTTTCGGTTAAATATTAAGATATAAATAATTATATCTCATATCTCAACAAGTTAAAAATACAAAAAACGCTTATTACGATCGAGATAAAAATGAAAAAGTGCTCAAAATCTTCGCAACACATTTACCTAACAAGCTATTAAGATGAAAAAATTATCAATACAAAAAGACAAAATTTAAAGATAATAGAACAGAAAATGAGTGGCACCTCACGTGAAATAAAAGTTCAACAATGATATCAGATAACGTTTAAAAAAATCCAGTTATTTACAAATAAACATCGCCTGATACGTCGTATTTTTAGTAAAAATTCGCTTCATAATTTTATGACGTAATTTTTCTTTTATAGAGGATACATATACAGAGTGAGTTAAGAGAATTTTCAGCCATTACTGAAAATAGAAAAAAAAGTACAATACATTAGAATTATTTTTAACTACACACAGTGTTCTGTTTTTTATTATTATTGGTCTATAATATCGGGGATTTGAGGCACGTTATTGACCAAATAACACCCTAGGGTATTAGTTGCCATAGTAACGTCAACAGAAAACGGAACTAGTACTTCTTGAAACCACGGTCTCTGGTAACACGAAAAATCTAAAAAATCCAAAAAGCAAGATTCCAAAAAATTCCAAAGAATCCAAAAATACCCAAGAAATTTAAGAAACTTAAGAAATCTCATAATCCAAAAATTCGAAAATATTCGAAAATTAAAAAAATACAAAAAACAAACAATTTAAAAAACCAAGGAACCCAAGTACTCGAAAAAACTTTAAAGATACCCAATACAGCGAAAATCCAAAAAGTAAAAAAATTCCCAAAATTCACAAAAATCAGAAAAAAAAAACTAATAAAAAGTATCCAAAAAATCGAAAAATAAGATTAATAAAAACCCAAAAAAATCTAAACAACAAACGATTCCAAAGAGTTGCGAAAAAATCCAAAAATACCCAAGAAATGCGAGAAACCCAAGAAACTCAAGACCAAAAAAAATCCAAAAATTCAGAAGTCCAGAATCCAAGAAATTCCAAAAAATCCAGAAAGCCCAAGAAATCCAAGAAATCCATGAAACTCGAAAAAACTCAAGAGATCCAATAATCCCAAGAACTAAAAAGTCGAAAACATCACAAATATCCAAAAAATATCTAAAAAAAATCTGACAATAAAAGAAATATAAAAAAAATCTAAAAAATCCAAAGAGCAAACGATTTCAAGAAATTCCGAAAAAATCCGAAAAACTCAAGAAATGCAAGAAACTTAAGAAATTCAAGAAATTTAAAACAATCCAAAAATCAAAGAATTTAAAATATCGAAAAATCTAAAAAATCCAGGAAACCCAGAAACTCGAAGAACTCAAGAAATCCAATAATTCCTAAAATTCAAAAATACAAAAAATCAGTAAAAAACTAATAAAAATTATCAAAAAAATCGAAAAACAGGATAAATAAAACCCCAAAAATATAAAAAATTCAAAAAATCCAAAGAGCAAACGATTCCAAGAAATTCCGAGAAAATCTAAAAAACCCAAGAAATGCAAGAAACACAAGAAACTCAAGAAATCCAATAATCCAAAAAATTGAAAATTGCAAGAAATTGAAAAAAATTCAAAAAATCAAAGCATTTAAAAATCCAAACGATAAAAAAAATCCAAAAATATAGAGTCCAAAAAAAATTGGTCATTCGTCGGATGAACTCGATTACAATACTTCCTTCGCTTACGCTGGGAAAGTAAAAATTCTAAAAAATCCAAAAATCCCAAGAAATGCAAGAAATCCAATAATTCCGAACTCTGAAATATTCGAAAAATCCAAAAAATCAGAAAAAAACTTATAAAAAGTATCCAAAATATCTAAAAATAAGATTAATAAAAACCCAAAAAACATAAAAAATCTAAAAATTCCAAAGAGCAAAAATCCAAAAAAAAAACAAGACTCAAGAAATCCAATAATCCAAAAAATTGAAAATTGTAGGGAATTCAAAAAAATCCAAAAAAATCAAAGAATTTAAAAAATCTAGTCCAGGAAATCCAAGAAACTCGAAAAAACTCAAGAAATCCAACAATTTCGAAAATTTAAAAAATCAAAAATATCCCAAAATTCCAAAAAATCAGAAGAAACTAAGAAAAATTATCCAAAAAACCGAAAAATAAAATTTATAAAAATCCAAAAAATATAAAAAATTAAAATAAAATCCAGGAAACCCACCAAACTCAAAAATATCCCAAAAATCCAAACAGCAAAGGATTCCAAAGAATTCAGGAAAAATTCCAAAAAAACCCAAGAAATACAAGAAACCCAAAAAATCAAAATATTTAAAAATCCAAAAATTCAAAAGTCCAGAAAGCCCAAGAAATATAAGAAGCCAACAAACTTAATACATCCAAATAATCAAAGAATTTAAAAAATCCAAGAAATCCATGAACTCGAAAATATCACAAATATCTAAAAAATCATGTATATAAAAATTATACAAAAAAATTGAAAAAATTCAAAGAGCAAACGATTCTCAAGAAATCCAATAATCCAAAAAATCGAAACAATTTAAAAAATCGAGGAAACCCAAGAAACTCGAAAAGTTCAAGAGATTCAATAATTCCGAAAATTCAAAAAACCAAAAAAATCAAAAAAAAAAACGTAAAAACCTAATAAAAATTAGCCACAAAATCGGAAAATAGGATAAATAACAACCCCAAAAAACCCAAGAAATGCAAGAAACCCAATAAACTCAAGAAATCCAATTCAAAAAATTGAATATAGCAAGAAATTCCAAAAAATTCAAAAAATTAAAGAATTAAAAAATCCAAAAATCTAGTCCAAAAAATTCCAAAAAATCAAAAAACCCCAAGAAATGCCAGAAACACAAAAGACGTAAGAAATCCAATATGTAATTCAAAAATTCGGAAAATGAAAAAAATCCAAAAACCAAAGAATTTAAAAAATCCAAGAAACCCACGTTCGACAAAATTTTAAGAAATCCAAGAATTCCGAAAACCAAAAAACTCCAAAATAGCCAAAAAATCAGAAAAAAGTAATAAAAAGCATCAAAAAAATCCAGAAATAAGATCAATAAAAACCCAAAAAACAGAAAAATCTAAAAATTCCAAAAAGCTAAAGATTCCATGAAATTCCGAAAAAATCCAAAAAAAACCCAAGAAACTCAAGAAATCCCATAACCCAAAAAATTGAGAATTGCAAGAGATTAAAAAAATCCAAAGAATTTAAAAAATCTCGTCCAAGAAATCCAAGAAATTCGAAAAAATTCAAGAAATGTAACAATTTCGAAAATCCAAAAACACAAAAATATTTCAATCAACTAAAAAGTAAAAAAAAACTAATAAAAATAATCAAAAAAATCGTAAAATAGAGTGCATGAAAATCTAAAAAATATAAAAAAATCCAAAAAATTCAAAGGCAAACGATTCAAGGAATTCCGAAAAAAAAACAAAAAACCCAAGGAACTCAAGAAATCCAATAATCCACAAAATTGAAAATTGCAAGAAATTGAAGAAAAAAATTCAAAAAATCAAAGGATTTAAAAATCTAAAAATAAAAGTTAAAGTCTAGAGTTCAACAAATTCCAAAAACCCCAAAAAATGTAACAAATCCAATAAATCCAATAACGTAAAAAATCGAATATTAAAAAAAAAATTTTAAAAACCAAGAAATTCATGAAACTCGAAAATATCACAAAAATCAAGAAAAAAATGAGAAAAAAAAAATTATACAAAAATCGAAAAATGGAATAAATAAAAATCCAAAAAATCCAAAGAGCAAATGATTCCAAGGAATTCTAAAAAAATCCAAAAAACACCAGAAATTCAACAATCCAAGAAATTGAAAGTTGTAAGAAAGAAAAAAAAAAGGATTTAAAAATCAAAAGTTAAAAAAAAATCCAAAAACCAAAAGCCCAAAAAATTCCAAAAAGTCCAAAACCGGCAGGAAATGCAACAAATTCAACAAATCCAATAATCTAAAAAAACCGAAAATGTCCAAAAAATTTAAGAAATCCATGAAACTCCAAAAAACTCAAGAATCAAAAACTCGAAAATATCACAAAAATCAAAAAAAAAAAAAATCAGAAAATAAAAAAAATTATACAAAAAAACGAAAAATAAAATAAATAATAATAATAATAATAAAACACAAAATCCAGACAACTCAAAGGATCCAATAATTCCAAAAATCCAAAAAATCCAATGTATAAAAAAAAATGTTAAAAAATAATCCACAATTCCAAAAAGCCGAGGAAATAAATTCGGTCTTCTTGAGTAAATGTTACCAATAAGAAATTGTGCAAATATGATTTGTTTATAAATATCAAAAACTAAACGGTAAGACATAAAATTTTGTATTTTCAATGACTATTAAATATCCTCATTGGCTTCTTCCTAGGCTTTAAAACATCAGTATATTTTTGAAATTCCGATGCGACGTTGCCATATATTTCAATTTTCCTGATTTTTTTAGCACATAAATCGTTCCCCAAAAAAATCGCAATGAAGTTATTTTTAAAATCTCTGTTACAATATTTTGTAGAGAGATAAATAAAGGTATACGCAAACCGACATATCGAAAGAAAGAGAACAAAAAATAGAGTAAGATGTATTATTAAACTACAGGGTATTCTATTTGATAAAACTTAAAAATATCGGAAATTTTTTATAAACACTCGGTATACTAAAATTTAATTTAATTGATAAATAAGCTCTGTTTGCCCCTCTATAATATAATATAAGATTTTAAAAATAATCCGT